TCTCTCTCTCTGTGTGTATTAGCCTGGCTCCAAGTTGGCCTGTATATTTCCTGTAAGCAGTAGCCATGCATCTAGCCGTCCCTCAGAGAGCAGGCCTTACTCTGAGTGCACACTAGATTTGTAAGAAGTATTTATTGGTCAAAATCTCTATGAGAAACAAATTGCTAAAAATCCAGAGAAAAGGGTGGTTTGGCTTCTTCCTCTCTCCTTCCCAATGTGAGAGAGAGCCTCTCTTCCATACAGGGGATGGTCCAAGGGACAGAAGGGAGGGGCTGAAGAACCCTGTGGGTGGAAGGGGTCCATGTCTTCTTCAACCAAGGACAATGGGGAAGGAAGGCAGAGGGAAGGTTCTAGAAGACTCTCGATGGCAGTCCTCGGAAGTTGCCACCCTGCTCTAGAAGAAATCCTCCAGTCACCCAGGGCCTTTGAGTCCCTACCTGGGACTCTGGGCCCTTGGATTGGGACCTTGGGAGATCTACACTGCTGAGCAGGCCTGTTGTCTGCCTGTGGCCTAAGGGAAGGCCAGAACACCCAGTGCTGGTCAGTTTTGTTCCCTGGAGGAGGCTGCGGAGAAAGGGTCTGGGCTGAAGCCCCTGCTTGGGCCTCCCCCGACCACCTGAGAGATGTTCCTGTAGTTGATGGGCCCTGCCCAGCCTCCTACTGCTGGCTCTCGGATCTCATCAGAATGAGAGCTCTAGACCCAGAGTGTCCAGGCCCCGCGGTCACGTCCCTTCATGCCCCTCTGCTTTATTTTCCACAGCGTACCTCACATTCTGTGTGTTTCACTTTTATCTTGGGTTTCATCTGCCCTGCCTAGGGCACCAGCTCATGCGGGCATGGCTTCTTGTCTGTTTTGTTCCCTGCTCTGTCCCTGGGGTCTGGGCAGCGCCTGGTGTGTGGTAGGTGTTCATTTATGACATGTTGAATAAGTGGGTACTTCCCCTTCTCCTTCCTCAGAGTCCACACAGGGAGAGGGAGGCCCAGGGCTGAGGGTGCCTGATGGAGGCAGGGCTGGAGTTGTTCCTAACTGGACTGGAGTTAATTCAGAGCTGGGTCCCTGTCCCCTGCTCCAGGTTGTTAGGGTTATAAGAGTCTCCTGGGCAGTTGCCTCTAGAGTTACCTGGAAGGGAACCTCTAGACTGAGCAGATGGCCACCGCAGAGGGCCCTTGGAGTTCCAAGGAGAAGTGGTCCCCAAAAGGCTTCCGTCCTCACAAGAATTCTACTCTCCAAAGGGAGCCCATCCCTCTTTGAGTGAGCCAGCCCTGGGGGGAAAAGAGTGTCCCAACCAGGAAGCTTGTTCAGATTCCCCAGGGCACTGAGAACCAGAGGGACCAAAGCCAGACTCTGGTGCCCTGGGGAGGGTGGCCGTTCAGATGGGCTGGGCTAGGGATGACACCAGTGTGAGAAGTGCAGAGGCCAGGGAAAGGCCCTGAGGCCTCACCTAGGAAAGGGGTAAGAGAACCTGGATGCCAGGGAGACACACAAGCAGCTGTCATGCAGTCCCTTATGTTAGAACGTGGCCAGGGTGAGCTTTTTGGCCTAGTCCTGCCATTGACCCAAATATCTCTTCCCATTGCCCTTCATGCTTTGCCAAAATCATAGTTAGAATGTTCTTGCAGAGTCTTGGAGAAGGGAGAGGGACTCCAGAGTTGGACCTTGAAGGATGTATAGGAGCTTTCCAATTTGTAGGGAAAATTGGGGAGGAGGAGCTTGGGGCAGGCAAGGAAGCAGTGATAAGATTAAGAAGAAATGGCTCTGTAGTGGTGCCTTCTTCTCTGGACCACACCCCTCCACCATCCTTGCCCCCGGCCACCTTCCGTGGAGTCCCTTCTCCTGGAGGAAGTGAGGCTAGACCTGAGAGCATAGCTTCATGCATTCCTGCACCCTGCCTTCTCCTTATCACCATCGTCACTGCCCGTTGGATGGCTTTCAGCCTCAGTGAATGGAAAAGTACGCCTGTTGCGACATGATGTGAGTCAGTCATTCATAAATAATGGGGCTGCACAGCCAGCCCTGATGCCTGAGGTCTGGCCCATAGTAGGAGTCACAGTGTTGGCTCCCTGCGGAAAAGACACGTCGAACTCTAGAAATTATTAGGAAATCACGCAGGATGGCAGTGAGGAGCCATCAGACGCAAGATAAATACCATCTGTTTTGTTTTGGTACCAGGGATCAAACTCAGGGACATTTAACCACAGAGCCACACCCAGCCCTTTTGTATTTTATGTAGAGACAGGGTCTCACTGAGTTCCTTTGGGCCTCACTAAGTTGCTGAGGCTGGCTTTGAACTCCACATCCTCCTGCCACAGCCTCCCAAGCTGCTGGGATTACAGGCATGTGCCACTGTGCCTGGCCAAGAAATATCACCTTTGACATCTGGGAGAAAAGATAGTGCCCCCCTAAAGCAATGATCCAAGTCTTAATTCTCACCATTCCCTGTTCTTCAACCTGGGTTTTACCTTAGAGAGTTTCCCTCTCTTCTGACCTTGAGCCACAAGACCATCCTGTGAGGTCCCCTCCACCCCAGGTGAGTTTTACCTATCTCTATCAGGGGCACTTTGCACGGACATACCATGGCTCCTTAAAACACCCCTCCCCTTTGATTAATTGGGAACCTCCTGACCAAAGTGACCTTGATGGGACTCTTTTGGAGCCTGTCAGAGGCACAGGGCCTCTGTGGCTTCTAGATCCCAGGATCCCCAATTCAGCCACACCCCCAGCCGGCCCTGGGCTTGGAGTTGGTCGGTGTACTCCTGGGAGCTGAGGTTGGTGTGGCTGCCAGCAGGTCTGGATCCTAACTCCGACACTATTCAACTCACAGTGGGACTTTGGTGTTGTCACTTCCTGAGCCTCAGTTTCCTCATCTGTAAGAGAGAGCTTAGCCAGGTATGGTGGCACACATCTGTAATCTAGTATCTCAGGAGGCTGAGGCAGGAGCATTGCAAATTCAAGGCCAGCCTGGGCAGCTTCGTGAGACCTTATTTCAAAAGAGGAAAAATAAAAAGAGCTGCTGTGTAGCTCAGTGGTAAAGCACCCCTGGGTTCAGTCCCTGGTACTGCCCCCCAACAAAGCCAGCTCTGGTTCAGTCGGAGTACTCCACCTCAGCATCATTGTCATGGTGCACAGATAAGTCTTAAGGAGGGCAGGGGGAAGTGGGGACTATCCTGTGCCTTTTTGACAAGGCATGTTGAGCAGAGATGTTTAGCAGAGTCCTTGGCCTCCACCCACCGGTGCCAGAGCATCACTGCCCTTTTCCTCCTTGACAGCCAATGTCCGCTGGGGGCAGCATCATATCTGGCTGAGACCCACTGGATTAGATGATCCCAGAGGAGCCTCCCGACATCACCCCCAAGACAGAGGGGA